TGGGGTGACAGTGTCCGTACACGGTTTGTCAGCCCTTCTGGATGCAGCATGTGCCCAGGGTGGGGATGGAAGGGGAGGAATCTCAGCTCCCAAAGAAGCCTCGTTCGCTGGAGCCTGCGGAGGCAGAATCCAGCCCCTGCAGGGTGTGCCGGAGGGAGGAGAGCCTGCACGGCACACAGCAATGCCTCCCCCAGGTGAAGAGCCAGCTGGCAGCAGGGAGGAGGCAGAGCCCAAGCGCAGAGCTGCCGGCCAGGGTCTGAAGACCTGGGTGAGGGATACAGGACAGGACCTACTACTAGGTCAGCTTGGTGAGCACTCCCTTGGCATGGGAGCGGCAGGACGGGTTCTCGGTCCTGGCTGGGGGTCAGGTTGTCCCAGCAGCCAGCTGATGAGTGGGACCAGGCGGCACTGCCGGAACTGTCCAGGGTCCTGCAGTGGGGCAGGAGGAGGGAGCAGAAGCTCAGGGGGAGGGTTGGCAGCAGGAGGCAACAGAGAAAAGACAGACCAGGCAGCGGGGGCAAGGCCTGAGGGAGGAGAAGCAGCTTCACAGGTGCCTGGCACAGACTGAGGTGGGGCCTGGGGGTCGGGAAGGGCAGGGCAGGTGAAGTGTGTGTGTGTGGGGGGAGTTGCCAGCCACAGACACAGCTGGGAGCCAGGAAACCCCTTTGTGTGGGCAACGAACTTGGGCGTTAGCTTTTGAAAATCATTCTTCTGTGCTCCCAAGGACGCTCCAAAGAGAGGAATGGGGACGATCCCGCCCCCTTCCCTGGTGCTGCCCCAGCCTTGCTGCACTGGGTCAGTTTCACTTTCTACTTCTTGTCAGTATCACTTCCTGGTTCTCTCCCTGCAGGGTGTGGTGGCCCAGAGCTTTCCGGCCTGAGTCCAGCACCTCTCCGTCCCTGGCCCTCTTTTCAGTCACAGTCAAGAGGAAGTATCCCAATTAGTCTTAAAATAACAAAGCACATCCTGGGGGTGCTCTCCTGGGCCAGAGAATCAAACCCTGAGCTCCAGGGAAAGGAAAACAAACCGGGGGGGGGGTGGGAGCTGCCCTGGGGTGGGGGTTCTCTCCGGGCGGGCCAGCAGAGGCCTGTGTCCCTGCCCAACACCGCATGCCAGGGTGAGCGATGCACAGGTGTGTGTGTGTGTGTGGACCAGAGAAACCCTGTCTAACTAATCTAGCTCTCCAGGGCTCCGCCCGTGCGGCTGAGGGCAGGTCCCAAAGAGCTGGGACCCACTGGGAAAAGGGGCAGGTGGGGGCCAGCTGGCCCCAGCTCACAGGTCTCTGATGGTGAGGGACGTACCAGGCTGGTCCGGGGGGGGAGCTGTGGGGGGATGCCTAGCCAGCTCCTTACCGGTCCAGGCTGCTGATTGGACGGGTCGCAGGCCAGTGAGACGAGATCTTTCAGAGGGTCCTGTGGGTTGAGATGGGGGGGGGGGCCGCCTGGGGGAGGATCGAGGTGGTGGGGAAATGCAGAGCAGATGAAGGGTGTGGGCTTCGAGCGATACCTGGAGCAGGAGAGAGACAAAGAGAAGACCAGAGGGCCTTCGTTTGGAGCCCCAGGCCAGGCAGGGCCCCAGAACCTCCTCCTGCCCCACGGACACGCTGCTCTGGTTCCAACAGGGCATTAACGGTGGCCAGATGGCAGCCCCACACTGCTAAGGTGCCTTCCACCTACATCATATCGCACAGTGCTCGGGGCGTCAAGGTGGGGCAGAGGGGTGCAGGAGCCAGAAATTCCTGAGCACTCGCCCTGCATCTGACCCCAAGTCCCTTCTATGGCCTTGGGCAAGTCAGGGAACTTTGCTCCGTGCCTCAGTTTCCCCTTCAGTGGACACCGATCCTTACCTGCCCCTCAGGCCAGCAGAGGTGCATGGAGGAATCAGCTGACGCTGGGGAAGCATTGTGCCGCTGAACGGTGCTAAGTGTTGTTATTTGCAATCCAGATCTGCTCTGGGAAACTATCCTGCCCCTTCCCACCGCTAATCATGGCCGGCTCAGCCCCCGTGCCCAAAGAACGCTGCCACCCACGACCCTGGGGGCTGCAAACCCAACGGGGATCTTCCTGCCGCTCATCCCCCCATGGGAACACCCCAGAGTGTAGCTCTCCCACAGCTGAACTCAGGGCCAGGCTTTCACCTTTCTACCTGTCTCCAGGGTTCCTGGTGCTGCAGAAATTATTCCAGCTGCGATACGTCAGTGCAGCCCCCTAAGACCTACCTGCCCAGCAGCCCCTCCCGGACAGGCAAAGGAACCTTCCCATCATGCTTTGGGAAATCTGCGACCCCCCCAGGGTACCCCCAGCCTCAGCAGACTCACCACTGTGCACAGCGATGACCGGACGGTGGTGCTGGGTGAAGCTCAGCCGCGGGGAGGAGTCCTGTGGCGACGGGCTATTGAAGGGTGACTTGTCAATCTCCGTCTTTTTCACTGGCGAGATGCCTAGGGACCAGTCAGAAAGGCAGAAGCGACGCTGTTACCGTCCGGCTCCGGAGGGAACAACGGGCCGAGGGGCGGCGCTTCAAGGGCCCGCAGACAAAACACCCGGCTCAGTCGATCAGAAGCACCATTCAGTGTCAGGCGTCAGGGCAGACTGGCCTCCCCCGCGGGGGTCAGGAAGGGGATCCCCTCCGGGCTTGTGGCTCCCCTGCAGCACTGCGCACACGCCAGAGGCAATGGCTAAGCAGGGGGCTCCCGAGGGCGGACCCAGGGTGCCGAATGGCCCTAGTGATTGGGGGGACCCTCCAGCGACTCGCCTGGAAGCTGGTGGAGCAGACCCTGCGGAAGGAGCCTTTGTGCCTCTCAGCCTCCGTGGGGTATGCCGGGGAGGCAGGGAAGGGCCCTGGCAGTCACCAGGAACCGGGGCCACGCTGGCCGCTTGCATGCCCAACCCCTGCCCTGCACTGTGCCTGGGACAGGGCCTGCAGAGGCAGCTCTGGGTTATTGTGGTGCAGAGCCAGCAGGGGGCGCACAGCCCAGTGACTCTCCCCGTCAGAGCCAGCTCATTTGCCTCCTTAATTAGGTGGCCGCAGAGGGACGGCAGGCGCCGCAGAGGGTCACATTCCCTGGCTTGACGCAGCCATCGCCTGGATCGCAGTGCGTGCCCCCACGTGCGTGCGCGTGCAAAGGTTAACAGGTGTGCCATTGCACAAGTGTGTGTGCATGTGAGTGGACCCACAGGTATGCAGGCGTTTGCACGTGTGCGTGTATGTGTGTGCACATTGGTATGGGTCGTGCGGTGCTGGCCGTGCGTGCAGGGGGCTCTCTCCCCCCATCGGGGAGCCTCGCACCAGTTCTGTGTTCCAGACCCCCGTCCCTTCTGAGGGGGAACCGCCCAGCCGGGCCTGGCCTGGGACAGCGGGGGTAGGGGCACAGAGCAGGCGAGCTCTGCACAAGGCCCCCCACCCAAACCTCAGCCTGTCACCCATGTGCTGGGCTGTGCACGGTCATCCCGACCCTGCAGGCCATGGGGCAGCCAAGCAGGACGCCAGCGCTCGGCCCACAGGATCACCTGCCCCCCAGTTACATCCCCAGGAACAGAGCAATGTCCAGGCAAGGCAGGGGGAATCCAGGCCCAGGGCACTGGGGCACGGCCATACAGGTGGGGGCAGGGCCATACAGGCTTAGAGCAGGTGGGGGCAGGGCCATACAGGCTTAGAGCAGGTGGGGGCAGGGCCATACAGGCCTGGTGCAGGCGGGGGCAGGGCCATACAGGCCTGGGGCAAAATCCTAGTGCTTTTCAAAATTTCAAAAATTTCCACCAGCTCCATAGGAGGGGATAGTGTCTTCTTAAAATTTCAGAATGCAAAATGTCATCAATTTTGAAATTTGTAAATTGTAACCAACTGGTCCCAATGCAATTAGCAGAGCACAGCACCAAATGTGGTGCTAACATTGGCCTGAAGTCTATAATCTTGTATGTCTTATATGGCATGTACTTTTCCTAATTGAGGCACATTCTTTGGGAAAGGGTGGGTCTATAGAGTTGACGCCTAGAGATATATACAGCTCCTTCTAGGTATGGTGTCCAACACAGCAAAGCAGCTATGTGAAAAGGAGCAGAGTTATGATCATATTAGGATTTGGGAGGAATCCCCATAGATGGTGCACACCTACTTTGTCAAACTGAGAAATACTACATAATTCTGCTCATCCACACAGCAAGCACACAGCAACAAAATGTGTATCAAAGACATTAAAAGTTCCCAAATTTTGTTTCAGTGTTCACTTGGAGCTGAATTCAGGTTAGAGAGAAGAGGAGTTTGAGTACAGAGCACTAAAGGCTGACTGTGGCTGAAGGTACCTGAGGCCAGGTCCTCAGCTGGTGTAAATTAGCCTAGTACCTTTGATTTCAGTGGCCATACCAACTGAAGTATTTTGGCACACTGAGTAGAAGTTGGTGTTTCTGAAAAATAATTTATTTTTCTTTGCTTTTTTCAGTGAAGAGAAATTTCTATTATATCGCACCGCTTCCCCCAGAGACTTTCACAGTGTGGGCACAGTTATAAAACAAGCGTGATGGCTGCTAATAAAGAACAGCTCCTAAGTGAAGATTATATGGTGTTTTCCACTTGAATCCTGTCCATATTCTGAATACAGCTGGAGGGATTTCTCAGCTTCAAATCACCAGGTTGTCAATGTCTACTTGGTTCAGAAATCACTTAAATAGAATCATAGAACCATAGAGCTGGAAGAGACCTCAGAAGGTCATCAAGTCCAGCCCCCTGCTCTAGACACGACCAATCCCAACTAAATCAACCCAGCCAGGGCTTTGTCAAGCCGAGACTTAAACACTTCTAGGGCCCACCTGTCACTGCCGGCCTGGCCCTGCACCTCCCCCCGGAGGCACACGAGGACACAGCTGCCATCGCCTTCCAGTGACACCGAGCCACGGAGCTGTTCTCCGGCCCCTTGTCTGCACAGCTTGCTGGCTCGTCGGGCCGGAACCGAACCCACAGGAGAGGGGTTCCTCAGCCAGGCTGTGGTGC